TGCTTTCTAAACTTCCTTCTGTCGCCGAAGAACCGTCATCTGATCCTGGTAAGTCAGAGCTGAAATGTCCAGTTGGAAAAGCCGTGTCTATTATATCTTTTTGATCCTTTGTGCATCTGATTTCAGGCGATTTATAAATTAAATCCATTTTGGCTTTAATTTTACTAACAGAGTTTATATTATCATGACACCACTCCATTATCAATTCTGCTTCATCTGCAAAATCGTCGTACTCATCAAGACGTGGTATGTCCATTTCGAGCATGTACATTTTCATTTTCATTAACAATTGTGGGTCCGCCAGTCTCTGTTGAAGATCAACAAAATCTTGGTAAGTGTCTATCTCTAGTTCATATTCTTTGAGATGGTACTCTTCGAATATTTCAAAACATGTTGATTTACGTAACGGATTTGCGAATCTCACAACCAACGCTTGAATGAGCCTCACAACATAATCGTGACAAATACCTCTAAGTACTTCAATGTTGTCACTGTTATTTTCTCTGATAAATAACATGGTTCCAAAAAAACTGTCGTTTTTGTCATCCAATTTTGTTTTGTTATTTATATAATATTTTTTTGTATCACAAATTCTCTGATATGCCACTGGAAATTTTACATCTCTTCCTTGAAGCCATTGACTTACAATTTTAAGTGGCGCGAACAGGTAATCAATAAAATACAGAGCTCCGACGAATAAAGAGTCATCTAATGAAACGCGTCCAAATTTATTTTCAAATACGTTTTAAGGTACAAAATTGAAATTTTCTTTATTTAATAAAGTTGATAATTTTCAAAATTTTCAAAAATAGCTGAAGTCACAAATGAAGTGAAAAGAAACCGTGTTGTACTTGTACTAGGAATTTCGGTGGCACACATTTCAGTCTTGTTTTGTTTATTGAAACCAACCCAATCATTTCTGAATTTAGAATTTGTTATTTCATTCAGGAATTGATTAATTACACTTCCTTCGTTAACTTCAACAACCTTTTCACATGCCTTCGACAGTCTATGATCAAAACAATAATTTCGTTTTAAGCGCTTTCGATGTTCAATTGGAACAAGACTTTTTAATAACACGCCGATTTTTGTGTTACATGTGGTACCATCAAGTGAAATTCCTTTGAGTTGTTGTAAACTGAGTTTTGCATGATACAGTGCACGAAGAATCCACTCAACCCATGAGTGTGCATCACCTTCGCCGTAATAGTTACCAATTTTAATCTTTACTTCAGTTGTTGTGCAAAAGTCAAAACTAAAACGTGCATATAGTGAATAGTGAGTCTCTCCATCGTAAGTTTGTGAATCGGCGATTAAATGAAAGGGTGTTTTCAGTTGACCCAAATTTTGCAGACGTCTTTTGTCAACTTCATATACATGTTTCATGCGCATTTCAACAGTTTTTGTGGAAACACTCATTTCAATTGAAGTTTTAATTGTTATAATTTTAATCACTTCTAATATTTTCGTTATTTCGTTAGAAGAAAAATCTTCGAGTGAAAAAATTAATATCATTAATATTATTGAAACCCCTTTTTTTCTTTTTTTGCAAGTTCCGTTTTGCTGTTTCCAATGCGTCTCCCAACTTCTTCGTCTATTGCTTTGGTGAGAATTGTTGACATGTGTAAATCGGCGTTTTTGGTGTTTTCGAGAGTGTCCATTATAAAATTAAGTCGTTCACTATTGACTAGCTCATTTTTCAATTGAAGGTCACTTTTTATACAATTTTCGTCTTCACTATCGATATCGTCGAGCCAATATTCATTTTCATCTGCAACCTTGGTATTTTCCGGGACGTTTTTTGACGAGTGTGACTCAATAAGCGAAGAAGACAACTGTTGCCATATCCCGGATGCTTGACTCATTATTTCATGGACTCATGTGTCTTCTATTTCGTTGCATTCACTGCATTCACTTCCTTCATATTCTTCATTTTCATGAGCTTCATCTTCGCCTCCACTGTGCTCAGTTTCCAGGCTGCCATCAATTGGATCGTTTCCATAAACGAAGTCATAATGACCCATGATATCACCAAAAGTGGTCTGTTTCTTATCTAAGTTTGTTTCAAGATTAAATGGTGTTTGATGAACAACACCTATTGGTGTTTGTGTTGTGTCTATCACAGGGGGTGTAGCAGTGTTGGGATGTGCTGTTCTATCTGGATAAGACGAATCGTTGTGCTCCTCATTGATACCATCATCGTTGTAAGTGTTTATCATGATGTTTGGATTTTGTTCACAGATTTGTTGCGAAACAAAGTGTGGCTCATTTATTGCAGGTTGTTGAATTGTTAATTCAATGGATATTGCTTGAAGAGCAATAATAACATCTTCAATCATTTTATTTATATTTGATGTGTTTACTCCAGTGGTGATCAACGCATCTTTGACTCTCATCATTTGGAACTTTGACGCGTTTTTTGATTTTCTCATAATTTGAGTTTATTAACGAGTTAAGCGACAAATAATTTAGTATATTAAAGTAGTTTATTGCGAAGTTTTGGAGCCTTTCCTTAATAACACAAAAAATGTTCGCGTCTTTATAAAAATGATTTTTGTAATGCTCTTTAAGAGCATCTCGTGAAAATTTCGAACAAAAAACACAATAATTCAAGTTTTTAACAAACCCATCGGGTTCATCTAAAATGAAAGGCTGAA